GATGATTATTACGATCAGTAAAAAGCTTGGCTTTTTAATTATCTGCTTGTAGAACAAATGTTACACAATTGACCAATACCCGATACATATCTCAAATGACTAATTAATAAGAGAAGTTACATAAACATTTTCTTACGCTTTCTAAATTTTCCTGTAAACACTGTGATTATATTTCGGCATTTATAAATACAATTTGAAATAAAATATAAATAAAAGACAATAGCACTGATATTATAACGAGAGAATAACGCGCGATAGAACTGAATAACGATATTTTATTAATTTGTAAATAACAATACTAATTTATTGCCTTTTGTAATAGAGACACCCTTTCATAAACACATCTCTATTTAAAAAAAAACAATTTAAAAATGTCGGCAGTGAAGGATATCTCCCTTGTTTTATTTCACGTAAAAGAATGGAAAAATTAAAAACTCGCGGTGACATACTAAAAGGGATTTTCAATATAGCAAAATACTAATAACGTTACCTACATTTCGTGCCTGATTAATTTATTATTACAATCAGATTGAATAAAACATCCGAGATTAACTCGCTCCTTTTAATTCATTCAACTTCCGAACTTTTGGGAGTTCCCTCGCGCCGCGCCGACGGAAACACCGAATCGACGCAGTACCAGACCAGACATTGCCGTATATCAAACGCATCACACACTGGTATTTCATCTGCTCGCTTATATCCACGTTATGTCCCCGATGGCTATTTGTTTCGAGTGCTCGCCAACGCTGTTTCGCGGGCATTATTAAAATGGGCTATCGCAGAATTTGCATGGCGACAATGGCGTACGGCGGGCGCCCTGGAAAGGGGCCGCGCGATAAACGGTAATAACGGCGGCTCTTGATGTGACGGAGGGAAAGGGAAAGTCGAGGGTGTTCCTTGAGTTCGAGGATACCCGGATGAGATGGATAGCGAGAGAACTATGAGACGCAAAAAAAGAAGAAGAAGAAAGATGAGACACGCAGGAATGCGAGGGATAAAAAGAGCGATGGGAGACATTTTTACCGTGCTCTTTGCCATCGTGTGCGATGACCGCTGACATGTATTTTCGCTCTTTGAGCACGTAGGGGACATTCTCGATATTTGAATGCGAAGCATTTATATACAGGGTGGGCCATTTTAATTTATACAGTCGATTTTTTAAAAAACTAAAAGAGATATGAAAAAATGTTTCAGACAAAAGTTGTATGGTTTCGAGGGGGACATAAGATGGTACCATAGGTTTGACCTTGAAGAGTAATTTGAAGGTCACATGAAGGTTACCTTCAATTTCTTAAATGGAACCTACTATTTCTCGTTACATATTCTTGCAGGTTATCTCGAGAGCTTTCCAAAACACTATAATAAAGTAATTTTTTGTTAAGAACTTTTTGAGTTATTAAGGTTTGAAAGTTTCAATATTTAGACGTAAATTACAAAATATCTTGTAAAATATTCATTTTTTTATCATCTTACTTTAATACTTTTTTGAACAGAATAATGATACAAATCAACTGGTGTAAAGAAAACAAACAATTTTGTAACAAGCAAAAAAAAAATTTTTTTTAAATTGCTTGTTACAAAATTGTTTGTTTTCTTTACACCAGTTGATTTGTATCATTATTCTGTTCAAAAAAGTATTAAAGT